CATAAAATATTGAAAATAAACTTTAGAGCTGTGAAACAAACTAAAGTTAACTCATAAGATAACTACTAACGTTCGGAATAAACTTCAATTATTTTTCTGAACGTTGGACATGGAAAATAAACTTTAGAGCTGTAAAGCAAAGCATACTTAATTCATAAGAAGAATACTAACTTTCGGAATGAATATCAATGAAATCTGTGAATGTTGGACATTGAAAATAAACTCTTGAGCTGTAAAACGAACAGAAATTTAAATCTAATGATATAATTTGAGATAAAAGTCAGCTGATCATGAATCTATCGTAAAAATAATCATATGTGCTTATCTAGAAAAAATTATATTTAAACAAAACAAAACAAATAAAAATAATAAAAACAAAATTTATGTTTACATAGACTTGTTTATTTGCTTAAATAGCTAAACGAAAAAGTACCTGAAATAAGACTAAGCCCTATGAATCTATGGTTGCATTTATAATAATAATATATTGATGTTTCGACACTGGACCAGATACTCTATTATTACTATATGTGAATTTTTTAAAAATATTTTTACGTTTGACGAGATAATGGGAAATTTGCCTTACCGTTGTAAGTAGTTATTTCCAATTGATTGACGACAAACAATTTTCCCTTGCCCTGAATTCCAAATGATAAAACACCAATAAGCATAGTTAATCCTTTAGATGTTTGAGCATATTGTTCGACAAAAACTATGATTTGTTCATTCTTCACATCTTTATCAACAACAATATCACTACTACTCCATCCTTTAAAGTCTTTTGATTTAATTTCAATATTAAAACAAACATCGAAATATTTAATTGAATCAAGAAGTTGTTGGTAATAAGGAGATGCTTCATCATCAACATTACCTTTGTCACCATTGAGCAATTGATTAATATTTGACTGTAATTTGGAAAAACGTTGATCACCATAGCCGCCAAAGACAACGAACGTTCTGTAAAAGATAAACATAATCTATATGATTATTGGTGTAACATGATGTTTTTTCTTTTAAATTCATGATCAAAAATATTTTTTAGAGAAAAAAATACAGGATTCTTTGAATTGAGAAGAATAAAAATGAATTAATCATTGCTTTTTAGAAAAACAAAATTAAACGGAGAGAAAAAGTTTTCTAATCACGATTTAATAATAAATAAATTATCACGTTGGATAATTCCAAATAAAAAATAATGGGCAAATACATAGTATTTTGTCTTGTTTAGACGATATGTGATATTATGAAAGAAAACTTTCGTTCTATTTTATTAACATAAATTGTTTATTTCGCTTGTTTTCAAAAGTTCTACAACCTATCTGTCTTTATTAATCAACTGATGAAGTTTTTCTTTATATTTATACGGATCATTGTTAGGAACGACCTCGATCTCTCTTTTTTCTTCATTCTTTATTCACTGAATACTATTCTGGTATCTAATCACTTTCGTCTTTGTTATACAGTAGATCATCTTTTCTCTTTCTTCTCCTCTTATATATATAGGTGTGTTTTTTCTGAAATAAAATGGGAAGAAAGTAAAGTACAAGACGTTCCGTCTGTCTCACTTTAGTGATTTTATTCAACTCTATCTCCCTTAACACATCTACCCTAATAATCATAAGGATCAATAGATATCTTTTTTAATCACCAGTAACTTTACAGGAATTTCTAATTACATGGATATTGTGAATTATTCAGAGAAAAAGAAATTGAATATTAATTATTTGAAAAGTTAGATGTTTAGTTTCAGAATAACTTTTCATACACTTACGTAATTCTTGACGAAGGTTCAGATTCATCAATATGTTCAGCTAGATTTTTGAAGACTAATTTGGTATTATCAATTGTAAACTGTTGCGGCAAAAAGATATCGCTACGATGTTCTAAGAATATCTTTCCATCTTCGAAAATAACTATAAAGCAAATACATGATCGAATATTCTTTGTTGCTATGCGACCTGTTGTACATCCAAAATGTTCCATATCGATATTGGCTATCGAAGACATTATGTTTTCTTTGAATAGCAATAACTTTTTCTGAAATGATCGATCTATGTATTATGTACACTAATAAAAGTAGAGATAAGAGAATAACACGTGCGCATATATGTATGTATGTATGTGTACGTAAACTTTGCGAATCGATAAGCAGCAACACTTTCTCCAGGCATACAACCATTTTTCTTTTAAAACATTTTTAATAATTATAATTATTTACACAAATAATCAAGCTAATATATAAATTATATTTTGTCCAAATAAGGATGTGTTAGAGAATACTCTAACAGGATCCTTGCTAAGTCGTATGAGTGAATGTATTTGTATGTGTATACATATTCTTCTTTTGATTCCACCTTTCTTATCTCTTCTATCATACGGACTATCCATACCATCTTCTATAGATCTAGGTCATTCTGTTTTTTTTCGTTCTCTTTCTTTGTCTATGAGAAATCGAATTTCTCATATTCTTTCTCTTTCTCATTTTGCTGTACTTATTCGGATACTTATTGCGCAATTGGAAAAAATATGTCTGATGTCATCTTCTTTGTATTACGTCAATTTATTTTCGAAGAATGTACTTGAAACTATCCTTCTTCATTGTTTTCTTTTTCTTTGTGTTGAGATTGTATAAAAGACGGATTTTTTGGATGAATAAACAGAGAAGAAAGAGTCGAAGGAATGAACCGTTGGCTTCCGATTTTGAACGATATAACAATTCATTACAGACAGAGACCTCTGTAACAGAGTAGTTGATGATCAAGGATTTGTACAGTTAGAAGCATTAGCAACTGTATTACTTGACAGAAACATTTAATGAGTTAAGCAATAAATCACATCAATATTTATTTGATCTAATCATTGGTCCATATAACATTTATTAAATATGAATACGATTTTAAAATTAAATATATTTATACAAAATAATGCAATTGAAAACTTCTACTGGTTTGAAGATGATCATATATAATCAATTTTCCATCTATTATATCTACTCAACTACATCTTTCCTGTGCAACACGTCACACATAATGAAATTTCCACAAATTTTCATTGTACATAATGAGCAGCACATATTGCTGTTAAAACAGTTGTATCTTCTGTTTGAAATCATAATGGATGTTTAGCTATAGACAAATAATCATTTTGATTGCTGTTATAGCTGTCCCCTTCTTCTTCTTTTATTCTCCCTATTCCTTCTTATACTTTTATTCTCATGAAAACAATGAAGCAAACGCGATAACCGATTCATCAAGAAGCCAATATCAAACAAAACATAGCTAACTTCGACGTGATACAGGGTGGTCCAAAAAAAACTTACCCCTCCCCCCCCCCAAGTGTTTTTGGTTCTTTGAAAATATATGCATTTCAAATGAAGAATTTATTTCAAAAACTATTGATAGGCATATAGTACATAATAGCTACATCTAGTTTTTGAAGTAAAAAGTAGTGTGTATATGAAATAAATCTCATTTCACGGAAGTCAAAAATACTTGGGGGGGGGGGGGGGGTAAGTTTTTTTGGACCACCCTGTAGTATTAAGCATGATGAATCACTCTTTATGGCAGTATAGACGCCAATACTGCCATAACAACCCGTTTCTATTCCATATTCTCTTTCTCGTAGAGAAGAGTCTTGCAAACATAAATTGTCTGCTTGATTGTATGTCCGCACAAGGTCAAAAAAACATTCTATTAATATTTTCTGTAAAACTTGACGAAAGGGTAATCGGGGTCGAGGAATCCAAATCTGAGGTTAGTTTTTTTAAGAATTTTTTTTCTCGATCCATTTTTTTACACAAAGGATCGCTTTTTTTGCAAAAAAATTTTTTTTATAAGGGTTGACCGAAGGGTAATCGGGGTCGAGGAATTCGAATCTGATGTTAGTTTTTTAAAATTTTTTTTGGATCCATTTTTTTACACAAAGAACCAATATTTTTACAAAAAAAAGTTTTGTATAAGGGTTGACCGAAAGGTAATCGAGGAGGAGGAATTCAAATCTGAAGCCTGTTTTCTAAAAATTTTTTGCAGCTCAATTTTTTAAATAAACGACAAGTTAACAAAAAAATATTTGTTTTTATGAGATTTGGTCAAAGGTAGTTAACATCCACGAACTTGAATCTGACTTCGGTATTTTTAATTTTATAAATGAATAGCTTGACGGTAGTTTAGAAACACGATTTCTACGAGAAAGAGCTGAGCGAGTCTTTAGACGAGCGCTACTTGTTCATTTTACTATGAATTCTGTTTTGTTGTTTTTTGCAGCATTAGATCAGGTTGGTAAATTTCAAGAAGTTTGTAATTTTACCCATTTACCTTCTCTGAAAAATCTTCACTTTTCATTGTGTTTTCCTCAAGAAATGGAACAAGCATGGCAAATGAGTTCATTCCATCATAATGACGAATGGCCTTTTGATAATCTTGATTGTTATATAGATGAGAAGTGGATTTCTCCTGATGGCAGAATAGATTTAATGACGAAGGCATTCTTCGTCGTGTGCACACGTCCGATCAACATCATATTACAACACCAGCGAACTTTACACAATTATTGTTTTGCGACACATGTATCTGTCCCTCTTATTACAACTCAACGACGATCACTTACAATGACTTTTGATCAATTAGATAAACCTGAACAATCAGTCAAAACTTTGCAAGTAGTTGCAAGTAGTCGAGTTAATAAACTTAAATTGATATATCTGAATAAACAAGTAAGTTTCAAAAGAAATCTTATTTGATTAATCATTTTGATTGTCAGTTAATATAAAAATAGTTTATGTATTGAAGAGTCAAAGAATGTTTGAAAAACTTCTTAATTCATCTATGAAATCTTTATCTATTTAGATAAACTCATCGATGACGTCAGATTATCTTTCTAATTGCAATTTGTTGCTTTATCATCTACGATCTATGTCTTTTGACTTTGAACGAAAATACATCAAAAGCACAGATCGTGTTTTTATCGTTAAACAAATACTTGATATTACACCAAATCTATCACACCTTAAAATTGACTGGGAAGATTTTCGTCATTGTTCAAAAACATATTCAAATATAAAACATTTACATCTCGTATTAGATCGAATATATCCCGAACCTAAAAAATATTTTAATATTCGTCGATTAACTCAATTAACACCTCATCTACATTCTCTCGAAACAAGCAATGCAAATATAATGTTCTATGAACATCTTCTTGGATTTGTTTTGGAAATTATTCGTCAATTTCATCAATTAGTATATTTAATACTAAATAAGGATGGTCGTTATCCAGCCAAAGAAGAAATCAAAACAACGTTCAAAGAAAAATTAATAGCAACTGGACATAATCAATCATTTGATTGTAACAATATTCGAATAGAATTCTCTCACTTGAATGAACTATATATTTGGCTTTAATGTTGTAACATAGAAAATTATGTGTGATTAATAAAAATATTTTATACTAATAGAGATATGAAAAAAGATTTAGTATTAAAACAAAGTCAAATGTTCAATTTGAGCTCATGTTCTATCTGTTTTACTAAATTCATCATCAGAAAGTAAATATTCTGTTAATTCTACAATACAACAATTTTTAGATGGATTAATGATTGAACAATGGAATGTTTCTAGTCGATGTACAGGGTTGCGAAAAATGTTTTGCCCGGGGGTATAGCTCCAATGGCAAATGATTTCAACATTGAATTTTATACCAAATGAGAGTTCGTGAAAAATGGGATCTAGTAGTATAACTGACCGTTCATAAGATTATAATGGGCGATGGAAATACTAAAAGCTTGAAATTTTTGAGACATAATTGGATACTTCCATAGGTAATTCACCACTAAAACATAAAGTTCGCATGAAATGTTTTTTCTTTTTAGGCTTTGTAAAGCTCTCTTCGCTGATCATTTTGATAAAAAATTTTTTGAAATTTGATCAATAAATAATGGTATTAGGGTCAAAATACTGACAGTCTCAGGCTGCTACGGCGGATAGGGCTAAGATGTTTATGAGTATTTTGACTCTTGCATCATTATTTTTTGATCAAATTTCAAAAACTTTTTAATCAAAATGACCAGCGAAAAGAGCTCTACAAAGCCTAAANCTTCCCATGGAGCACCAATACAACATCCGAACATTGCAAGATATAGCGGCTAGTGAACCTTGCCCCCCGTGGAATTGTTTGTGCCCTGATCTTAAGTGTCACTTTAAGTGTTGTCCTCGTCATTAACAATAAGTCAGGTATGTTATGTTTCTCATTTTCTGAAACTGTATTCTGCTATTAGCACATTTCTCCTTTAAAATGATTATGCCGACTATTGCTTTCTGTGAAATTATGATTTTTTTTGTTTGTTTAGGACATATACCCTATACATCAAACATACACACTGATATGCAAGTATCCACATTCAATGTCATCCGTATCGTAGAACATCTTCCATTTAGTTTTCCTAATTTCACTTTGTCTTTATCATTGTTCAATTCGAAATAAGCATACAGTAAAATTTCTGTCAAGAGGAATCACTTTTCAGAAACTCATTATTACTCTCTGTGCGGCAAAACATGCGTATGCATTCTAGTATTAGGTTGGCAAGAAAGTTTTAGAAGTTTCCGTACTAAGGGTATATAAAGGAGATACGAATATCTTTCGAACAACAACAAAACTATGGATATGGACGTTCATCTCGAATTAGAAATGAAGATATCTCGTAGAGAGCTCCAAGTGCTTCTGCTTCATGAATTCCATTTAGGTCGCAAAGCGACGGAAGCAACAGAGGCGGCACGACGGACAAGGATGCACTCTCCATCCGTACAGCGCAACATTGGTTCAATTGGTTCAAGAATGGTAACTTTGAATTCGACGATTTACCTCGTTTCGGAAGGGTGTGGGTATGGAGTGTGGGTGGGGTGAGTGTGGTGTGGGATGTGGGTGTTGAACCCGGAAGAGTAGACATCCACACACACAGCCACATCCCCCCCCCCAAAATTCTTTTAATAATTGAGAATGCATGAATGAAGATTCTTGCCTATTTGAATTAGTAAGTTGAATTTCGTTGCACAGGCTTTATCGATCTTTGAAATTTGATATTGTTCGAATATATTGTCATTGTTGCTGCTAATATATTTTAATGAACAATCGAAGAAAAATCGGATCTTAATATATCGCTAAAGTTTCTCTGATTTCCATTTTGGAATAGTTAGTAGAAGACCAAAGGTAACAAAAGATAGCTCGATATATCAATTTTGGCTAACTCAACAAATTCATCACATGTGCTTTGTTCTAGATAAAATGCTCATATTTGTGTGTCTCTTTCTTTCTTATTGTTTGGCGAATAGAAAAAAAAGAGAGTTTGAACGAAAGACAAGAGGACACAAAAGAAAAAACGAATATAAGGAGAAAGCGAGAGAGAGAAGAAATCGAACACACAAACAACGACAAAAAAAGAAAACGTACTGTTTATAGCAGATAATTCTTTTTTTACTTTTTAAGTTGTTGCGAATAAGATTCAGTTGATTAGGTTTGAAAAATTTTATTCAGTGTTTTTTGTTTCTTATTTGTGTGCTTCGATTTCAAATGTACACCGAGAAAAAAGACATAAGACGGTTTTTTCCATGTTGAAGTACTGTTTTGCACACATCGAATCAAATTTTAAGCAAAAGAAATATATAACGGTCACAACTGATGAATGAATAGAGTACGGAAGAAATAAATCGTATGAATACTTCAATTTAACAAACTAAACACAGTGAGAAGAAAAAGAAAAGAAAAAGTCACAGTTTTTGACGTTTAAATCAGACGACAAGACAAGACAATCCATGATCAATCGCATGCTTTGTATACAGATATAATGTTTTTCAGTATATAATAGAAAATAGATAAAGAGAATGAGAAAAGAAAACGAAAAAAAAACACATTGTGTAATAACAAAAAAGAGAAAAAGAATAACAATAACAAATCATCAAACGGTTATTTTTACGTACTTTTTTTCTTTGTTTGATGATACGAATTTAATTTTCTTCTTCTTTTTCTTCGCCTTCTTCCACTTCTGTTTCAGCTTGTTGTAACCCAGTAAAAAAATCTTCTGTTGACTTTTCAACAACAGCATGCCCTAAAAACAATATTTTATTAGTTTATCTTTTTTCTGTTTTTCATGAAAAATTTTATTTTACCTTCAGTTTCAGATTGATCTGGATGTTGAAGCCACTCAAAAAATGCATATTCACTTACACATTCTTCATCATAGAATATATCGAATAGTAGTCGAGCAATTCCTATAATATTCATAAACTTAAGTGTTAAAACTTATTTTTTAACATACTTGGTGGATGTTCAAGTTTATTAACAAAATTTTGAATAGCATAGACAGCTTGAATTTCTGCTTCTGGTTTATGTTCAATAATAGCATTAAGTACAGTCATTCGTTTTTTTGCAATATCTTCTTGAATTTTCTTTTGTGTGCCACGATTAATTAAACATGCCTCCAAATAAGATAAAACAATATTTCGAATATAAAATTTTTCATTTGGATCCATATGCTATTGAAATACAAATATCAAAAACGAAAATAAATTAGGGGAAAGAAAAGAAGAATTGAAATTCAAACCTCGCGAATATATGTTATTATTTTTGGATCAGTTACTGTTGTATTTTGATCATTAAAAGATTTGAATAATTTAACAAGTTGTGGATCAGCATGTGGAGAATTAGTTTCTTTTGATTGTGATGTTGAAGATTTGCTTTCAGATGTATCAAATAACCAATCAAGTTCATGTAGAAATGAAGGATCAGTCAAATAAGGTTTAATTAAATCATTTGAAGAAGAAACGGATGATTGCCAACATTTTTGTATATGTGATTGAGACTAGAAAGTAATTCAAAGTAGTTTATTAGATTATTTGAATGAAATTTAATTGTTGAATAAAGAAATATTCTGACTTTTCATATGCAATTGACGAAACTAGACAAACATTCAACCGTGTTACAAGCGATTGAATTCTTCTTAAAGGGTGTGAATGAGGGCACAGAGAACAGCCTAATCAGAAAAATACCCAAAAAATAACGCATAAAAACGCTGCGGAATTTTAACGAAAAAAATCATAAAAACCGCACCTTTTTTGGATTTTTATTTCATTCAAAACTTTAACACATTTTAACGCGTTGTTTGTTGTTGTTTTTCTGCCTGGAAAGCTATCAAATTTCCGAAATTTGACTCGAGTCTTTTCATAGAAGTTTTCAACGAAGCCTCTCAGAGATATGGAATTTTCAAGAAAAACATGTTTTCCGTAGATCTTGTATAGAAATTGTTCTTGGAAATTCCATATCGCTGAGACACTTTATCGACAACTTGTTAATTATTCATGGAAGCTTGTCTAATTAAAGTCTATGTATAAAAAAGTTCGGATCAAATTCCGGAAATTTGATTTTTCTGAAACATCGTTGCGCTACAAGACCTCGTGAGAGAAGATATTCGAAAAATTTGATAGCTTAGTCAAATCTACATGGAAACTCAAATGTTTGTATGGTGTTTATTAGAGTACTATGTATTATCTACAGGCAAAAGAATCATTGCAGTTGAAAAAGGCATCTGAAGTAGTTTTCACGTAAGTAAATGAGTAGAAGAAATATCCTAAATTTAAAGATTCAGTTCGCTGAAAAAATGTAGAGATGAGTCCTTAAGTATTTTAGCATTGTTATAATAACTCTCAAATAAATAAGATCTCATATGAACTGTTTTTCTAGCTAGTGAGTCTGTAAATTTCAAATATTTTCTCTACTGTCTTGCTCACCTCAAAAATAAAGAGACCAGTAACGCAAATTTAAATAAAAGATGAATGTGAAGCTTTTCATTTGTTGATTTATCAACTTTCAATAGTACTTGTGCCATCAAGTTAAGAATAAAAAGATCTTAAATCAAAGATATAAATCTATATAGACTAATATCCATTTCAATTTAAAAGAGAGTAAGCATTTTATTAGAATAATTTTTGATAGAAATTAGATAGAGATCTGTGATTTTCACCGTTTCAAAGAGGAAATAAAACTGCATCGAATCTTGCATATCAGATTTTTCTGAAAAACAAAACATGATGTAAGGTGAAAGCTTTGGAATTTTAATTTTCAGTAGTGGACCAGAATCGTTAACTAGAATTCAGTAGTCTATATAAGTTCGATGTGAAAATGTTCAACAATTACGAGCTATTAATATTTTACTACACCTTTTTGGCAGATTTTTAACGGAAAATCGACTTCTTTTTCTGACTTTTTTGATGAAAAAGCCACCTTCTAAATCTATTAAAAATCCTCGATTTTTTAAAAAACTTGGAGGAAAAATCTTTTTTATTCAAGATTCGATGCAGTTTCATTTCCTCTTTTAAATCGTGAGAACCGCAGATCTTTAACTGTTTCTTATGAAAATTTATTCAAAAAACGCTCACCCTTCTTTTCATTTGAAGTGGATATTATAATGGGTTCGCAATACAATGCTTTATTAACCTCACTCATTGAATGTTGCAGGCTCCACAAATGAATTATTAAACTTTGAACCTATTCGATCTATCTATGTTATATATATATATATATATATATATATATGTTCGATTACAAGATTTTTTTTATTGTTAAGCTGATCATAACACAAGTATTATCAAAAGCTAGGAGAAGGAAAAATCTGATATCCGTTTTTGGTTTAATTTTTTCGTTTTTCAAAAATTCTATCCATTACTGAGCTTCATCAATAATACGGAGAACTTTACTAGGAAAAGTAGTATAAATACTATAAGAATTTTACTAGCAACTGGGTGCTGTCTTAAAGCAAATTATCATATGTAAATGCTTGATACATTTTGGTACAATTTCCTAATCAGAGAAAGTATCCTAGTAACGTATTTTAAACGTAAAAATATTCGCTTTTTACAGTGAAAAGAGAATTTTGTTGTAAAAAGCAAGGTTTAAAACGGAATTGGCTTCAAACTCGCTGTTTTTCTGAAAATCTCACATTTTTATTTGTTAAAATGCGTTTTTTATCGATTTTGTCGGACTAAAAATTTGCCTAATTACAGTTAAAATTTCTATGAAATAACTAAAGTTCAAGACTTATCTATGGAGCGGGCGAAATAATTAATAGAAATAATACACGAATAGAAAGCCAAGCGGATAAGAATAGATAATCGATGGTCTGGTGATTCAACGGAAAATATCAACTTCGACATACATAAATATGTCTTCTGATAAGATTTCTAAAGATCATTCTGTTGTTTTTTCTATTTGTTGATGTGAAGGTGATTTAAAACTTGATTCAATTATTTTTCTGAGAAAAACATAAAGTACGGTTGTAGGTGGTGTCACATTTTTTTATTGCTCTCTTTTTTCAGAAAAACTGAACTAAATCCGAAATTAAATCCAGATTATTAAATAAAAAAAAGAATAATTTTCTAGTGAAATTTGAATCAAATATTGAATTCGTGTGCATGTCAACCTGCATTTTTCATTCAAACTAACAATGTGCGGATCTGAAAGAAAAATACATTTCATCGTATACATAAACAAATATATTATTTAAGAACCTTTTGTTGATTAAGAATATTGTCTCAGAATGACGGTGAGATGATATCAAAACAATTCAAAACGAGGGTTTTAAATACTTTCTATTATTCTAAATTAATCACGAGAAATCTTGAAATATGTAGTCATCAGAGATCAGGCAAATCAGACTCAAAAAAAAATTAATTTTTTATTTCAATGTCTCCACAGTAAATTTTTAGTTTTCTTTCTTCGTTTAAATGGAAAGTGTTGTTTTAAAATACTTTCAGAACTTTCCTATATTCGCGGCAAAAGATTACTGTACGTATGATTGGTTCAAAATGTCAACTAATGTGAAATTACAGATTCAGCTACAATGGAAAAAGAAACGTTATGTGCTCGAATTTGAAGCATATCAAGGTCTTTCATCGACTCTCTTAACAATCAGCAGATATACTAAGAAGTGCATAGACTTTCTTTATCATGCCGCTGAATAAAAAGACAATATCAGGATGAAAACAAGCAAACTGTTTTGTCTGAATCGATGGTATTAGGTCAATGCACTTTATTCATTTAAAGAATACTTGATAAGTTTACTTAAACTTTTGTTGAATCAATGCTCGGCTTTTTTCCTATTAACAGTATGACTATATACAAATATATATACATATAAAGGGTTAGCCAAAAGTCTTGGTACTTCATAGAAAAATACCATTTTCTCCCTTATGACAAATTAGACAATGTTCAAAATGGGAGAGATAGTCGATCGATTCTAGATGATTATTATTCTAAATTTTCATAACAATAGCTCAAGTTATAGCGAAGATACATAACCTCGAACATGGAGAAATCTTTTTTAGTATAACGCGATAAAATCTGAGCACACAAGATTTTTATGAGAAAAAAGGAAAAGAAGAAAAAGAAAACACTTGTATGAAGAAAATCCGAGAACAATATTAAATAAAATCGCATCAAAGGATTAACTAGTTGTCTATAGTGTATTTATTTAAATATATTCATTGTGATTGCTTGTGTCCGAATGTCTGGCCGCTTTTCATGATGCGTCCCGAACGATTTTTCAACCCAAACTTTTCCGTAATCAATTTTTTTCTTGCGATACCTTAATTGATGTCAATTTTACTGGGTCTCAATGTCCAGAGAGCACGAGAATCTTAGAAAATAAATTCTGACTATCTGGACCACCATCATCCCAGATATGTGCTCAAAATGGATTAGTTTAATGCCGAAAAGATTAGAATCTTTGGTCAAGACAAAAGGTTATTCAATCAGAAAAAGGACTATAAAACCGAGTAAAAGTGTGAATTATTGTATCATTTGGTATTGTATTTATGATGAAAATCAGTTTTTCCAGAGGTTTCATCAGTCAAAACAAGATCACGTCATGCGAAAAAGAATTTTCTTTAGGTTCGAAGTTATGTATCTTCGCTATAANAGAGCCCGATTTTTCGATTTCATGATAGATGTCAGATGAGGGGAAAATGTTTGAGAATTTACACCCTACTGATTTTATATCATGACGTAGAAGTTCTCTAAAAACTAAGCTAAAGAAAAATTAAACAATCGGACTCTGTTAAGTTGTAGTCCCAGATATTGGCTACATTTTAAAACAAACCCGAGCTTTCTAGCTTTCAAAATGGCGGAGAAATCTGGGACGCACGAAGACCTATATTTTGGACCTTAATATTAAGCTATCTTCTGGAATCCTTAAGATTTCAGGCTGAAATTTTTATCACAAGGTGCCAAGCCCGAGATACATCTGCTCTGAAAATTTCGTTAAGATTCGATGTTCTATGGCAAAAATAAAATTTTGGGTGGGGGGTGGGCCTTAATTGATAAACAAAAATAAAAAAAGTGTCAATCAATTTTATAAATCTTTAAAAAAATGAATCAGCTATTCTAGATCGAGTTAAGCAGGAAATTAAAGTTGCTTGTATCAAATTTGCAGCATTCGACTGTCAACCAATCAAAACAATTGATGATATCGGTTTTAAAAATCTTGCATAAACAATTTTTAATGCTAATCGATACTTACTTTAAGGAAGTTATGGGTCCACATTTTTCTAGACCAGACTTGGACACGAGAGAAATTAAACTTCAGAATTCGAACCCGGAATTTAAAAGGACTCGTAGAAATGTTTCACTCGACATATTCTGTATTAGAATAGTGTGGTTCAAGAACACATCCGAGTTCAACAAAAGACACTTAGAAATCTAATATCTGCGAATATGTTTAACATCTGGATTATCATTTGGAATTTCCAATCCTAAATCATTTCGATAAATGATATGTTTATTTTTGATAAGTAATTGTCGTGTATATGGTGATAAAATCAATGGTAATGCTATATTAACTAATATAAGAAAACAAAACAATTTATTTACAAAAATATAGTTGAAAAACACTAGTTTTTGGCATACTTGTTAATATACCAATAGTAATTGCTGCACAAGCAATCCATTTTCCTAAATAAGTTGACGGTAAAAAGCCTTCAAAACCAACATTTGTAATAGCTAATAATGTATAATAAACACTATTTCCAACATTTGGAAAAAGTATAGTTGATGATGGATTTGTTGTTCGTTCAATTGCATAGATAATTGCACCAAATACACAACTATTACCTATTAAAACAATACTAAATGCTAAAAAATCCATTGAAGCTTCTCCTAAATAATAAAATATAAATATTTAAAGGATTTATTTTGTTTTCTTTTTTTTCATCTAAGAAAAAAACAAACCAAGAGATTCAAGAATAAGTTTTATTGATTTATGATATCTACCAAGTTTCAACATTCTTAATGTTTTAAAAATATCAATTAATTGAAAAATTAATGTCATTGACTTAATATGATTAGTTAAAAGATCTTTTTGACGATTATATATTAAACTAAATATTCCATAAAGAATTGTATTCAATAAATTAATTATATCAACCCTAAGAAAAATATTTGTGTTTTATCATAAAAAAATAAATTAAAGTAGAGATCGATAACTGTTGAAAATCGACCCCTCCAGAAGTTTTGCTTCTTCTATGCTAAACTATCTCGTGTAAGATGTTCGAAAATTAGTCCGGATAGAACTAGTTATATAGTATTTCTTTGTGTTGTGCACAGGTCGATTGACATAGTCAATGGTCGTTACATGTATATTGAGTGTGACTGTTGATGATAATTGATACTTTTTACTGGTTCATCTAATGAACGATCAGGCTGCTATCGATTTCAATTTTCAAGCGATTCAAAATGATATAAAAACTTGGAGGAAAAAAACATTGGTCATTCAAAGAAATTTCAAGGAGACTGCTCCTGTGATATGGCATAATGAATTTTTTAGCCTGATTTTTAGCAGATTGCTATTAGAAGAATATAATTAAGATGAAAACTACGATGATATTTTGAATCAGCATTCAAAACTGACGTCAGTGTTAGATATTGATTCAGAATATCATATTAGTTTTTATTGAAATTGTATTTCTTTAAAAAAAAAACTTATAAAATCATGTCTCGGAGGTAGCTTTTTTGGGGTTTCCTGGTGTAGCTAGCGTTTTTTCTCGATGGTTTTATATTATTATTTTGTAGTGCTTTTCAAGCGCTGTCAAACTATATAAAACTAGCTCAGCGAATGATAATATTAGGTGGTATTGGCAAACGCTTTCAGGAAACAACCTGGGCAATGTTTCAAATGAGTACATATTAGGGTAATGTTCTTCATGTGAAGTTATATCGAACAGTGTTGTTTTTTCGTAATATTTTGGTATCATTTTGAAACCATTGAAAAGCGCTATTGAGTTACATGAATACCAAGCCTAGTCGATCTTCGGATTGATAGATAAAAAGAGCTGGTCATCCTCAACATGCAAGTATAGCGTATGTACGACAGCCATTAGCTATTTCAACCGGTCGTAACACAGCACAAACAACTGTTATAGGCCTAATTTTACTAGTAATCATTTCAAGACAAATTATAGTTTTTTTTACCAGAAAAAAATTGATTTTATACAAAGATATAAACTTGGTGCAGAAAATATGCGTAAAAATAATTCAATAGTCCAAAGAAAAATAAATATAATTTCAATTGAAAATGCTAAACATTTTATATGAGGACGATAATCAATAACATGTACAGTTACATTAACAGGATGTATTATATTTTGAAAATAACCACGATATTTTTCAATAAATTCAAGAAAATTTTCATTTCTTGTTACAACTATTTCATACATGAATAAAAATATTGAACATATACATATTAAACCAAAAATAAACCGATATAATGGACCAAATAAAGTTTCATTATATTCCATTGAACGCCAAAGAATTTTTTTTATTGATGATCGAGGTAAATAACGAATTTCAGTTGTATCTGATATTTGAGGAATATCATAAGTTTCTTTTAATTTTGATAAAAACTTATGATCAACAAAATAATAACTGAAAGTTATATTCAATTATTATTGATTAACTATTTCAAATACTTTTTTTAAGTTAAAAAGATTAATTAACAACAACTTAGATTTTGTTCAAAAGTCGTATATATATATATATATATTGGATAATAAGAACTTGGTGTAGTCATGCATTACGGAACTTTATTTTTTAATAATTCGAACATCTATATCGCTTCAATGATAAATGCAGACTCTGAAGTTTTCATAATAGATAGAGACCATTTAGGTTTACTACTTGAATTCGTTGGGTTCAAAAGTTTTGAACCCAAACTCCAGAAAGGACGGGGGACGTTTTAGGTGCATTTCGGCCCAATTAGAAAGTGAAGGTAGATTTATTTGAAACTTTCAGCAAATGCTCAACTAAATGTTAGTAGTCATTCCTGAAAATTTCGGCTTGATCCGTTAAACTTTTCCCTTACTTGAATCCATGAAAAGTATATACCCTAAATACACATAAAATTCCCTATGGGGTAACATTGTTGACTCTCGTTCTCCACTATTTGATTCAGACCCAGAGTGATTTTTCTAGGGTCACTCCTAACTGGTGGGGGCTACAATATTGCAAGGATATGAGGCCAGGGAAAACCCGCCGTGGTATTACTATCAAGTACATAGTATCTAAAATCGGTGAAAAAGAGAGGTCGAAACAGGCCACGTTTTTAAGACTTGCACGACCTGTCAGGGCCTCTCAAGTTTTTCGAGCGAGTACAATCATGATAACAGACTGGAAAAAAGACGCTCAAATAGGACACTAGGGCTATTGCTCAACGTGATCCTGACCCGCCTGCCATAGGCATCACCCATGGTTTTCAGACTAGTGAAAGTGACAGGCCCAGACAGGCCCACAGGCCAAAAAGTGCTTGATCCTCTGACGTGCACCTGTCTGAAAACAATGAGTGATGCCTATGGCCGGCGGGTCATGATCACATTGAGCAAAAGCGCTAGTGCCCTGTTCGGACCTCTGGTTTCTAGTCTGTTCTCATGATTGTACTCGCGCGAAAAACTTGAGAGGCCATGACAGGTCGTGCAGGTCTTAAAAACGTGGTCTCTTTGGACCTCTGTTTTCCACCGATTTTGGATACTATCTACTTGATAGTGATATCACGGCAGGTTTTCCATGGCCTCATGTCCTTGCAATATTGTAGCCCCCACTGATTAGGAGTCACCCTAGAAAAATCACTCTTTGTCTGAATCAAATAGTGAAGAACGAGGGTCAACAATGTTACTCCCATAGGTACTTTTTCAGGGATTTGGGAATCATGTACTTCATAGTGATACCACGACAGGTTTTCCATGGCCTCATGTCTTTGCAATATTGTAGCCCCCACCAGTTAGGAGTGACCCTACAAAAATCACTCTGGATCTGAATCAAATAATGGAGAACGATGGTCAACAATGTTACCCCATAGGGAATTTTATGTGTATTTAGGGTATATATTTTTCATGGATTGAAGTAAGGGAAAAGTTTAACGGATCATACTGAAATTTTCAGCAATGACTACTAACATTTAGTTGAGCATTTGCTGAAAGTTTCAAATAAATCTACCTTCACTTTCTAATTGGGCCGAAATGCACCTAAAACGTCCCCCTTCCTTTCATGGAGAAGTACTGACCGCTACGAACTTTCAAAATGAGAGTTTAGCATTTTACTACGAGACAAAGTGACATAAAAATAAACCCTATAGGTAAAAGTTGTCGAGTCTTTAAGAAACTTTTAGAATATGAGGTAATCTTTTAACAAGTATAATTGTATAAAATAAAAAAATAAAAATACCTGTTTGTTATCAAATTTCGTCCTTGTTTTCAAAAACCACACGTTGAACCAGAATAAAAGTAAACAGATATTCGTCATCAGCATTGGATTTTACATAAAATGGTGCATTTTGTAGAACTCACATATATTTTCAAAGAAAACAGTGAGTGTAAGTTTTGAGTTCAAGTTTTCTGACTTCCCCCTCCCCATTACAGACCATAGCAGCCTAAGTCCAAGATCATTGCATATGTTTTTCGTATGGACTATGTGAGTTTCATATTTCAGTCTCAATGAGGCTGCGATAACAAGCCTTTTTCATTAGAATTTAACAAAAATCAAAATTTTCGCCTCTCTCAATCTTAGAAGTTACAGAGAAAACTCCTAGTTTAAAGATTGATAAACAAAATACTCAGCTTTGTTCAAAATTTGATGCCTATTCCAAATATATATGCTGTTACCAACGAAACCAACGCAAAACATTGATGTATGCAAAAGCACTATGATTTTTGCATACTAATGAGATTTTGTTAAGTAGAATTTCTAGAAAACTGCTAGTTCTAAGCATATTATCTTATAACCGGTACCAGCTAAGATGTACCGAGGCCATGCCCGGGACCACTACAAAGAAGCAATCGGGACCAAAAAACTTGGTTCTAAATTTCGTCAATCATGGCTTTTGAATCACCGCTGTTTTTAGACCTCTTCAAATTTTCATAAGAAAGTATTATTTGTTTTTATTTTGTTACAATTAAAGAACATGCAAAGTCTTCAATCAAAAAAAAACATAGCATATTATTGATCCAGGAATATTTCCACGAAATCAATTAGTTTACCTTCTGAAAAAAAAAAGAGAATCCGAAAAAAAAATGAATTAACTTACTCGAGTTCTTCAATATATAAATCCTATTATAGATATTATTCAGATTACTTTTTTCTATTTCATTTTCAAACACTTACAAGTGGTATATCAATAGGTCTCGATAAAATTCCATGATTAATATAGAAAACAAGTATTTCAAAAAAAGCACGATTACGTGAAATACAATAAACTTGCCGAATAGGATCATAAAATTGTTTCATATATACAGAATTATTCAAAATTAATGATGGAATTTTCTTCATATTTTCTGTATTTAATTCATAAGTATAACCTGCTACAAGATATATATGAAAAGTCATTGATAGTCTATTAAATATAAATGCGCGGTTTTTCTACATATATAAAAAAAAAAAACAAAAACAAAGACGAATCTTAGGAAAAACAACATTACATTGTATAAAACCAATATGGAGAAGGATTGTTAATAAAACTTGATTCGTGTGATAATGGTAATGTATGAAATGTAAATGGTGTCTCATATGGAGATCTTAACTCATATGAAGGCATCCTGTCATATGAATATGTTCTCTCATACGGCTGTATCGTCTCATGTGGATATGTCGTACTGAACACTCCCGTAGCAGATTGTGGTTGTATTAATGGCATTAAAGATAAATTAATAATTTCACCATGGTTGTGTCGATGTTTTTTATGAGTTGTATGCGAATCCTTTTTTTTATGATGACCTTCAAAATATTCCTCAATAACTACATAATTGTGATGATTGTGTTTTTTATGTCTTCTCTTTGATTTTTTTCGCTTATGATCGGTTATTACAAATTGTGGTTTATTATAATCAATTGTGGTCGATTTTTTAAAATGCCTATAATCACTTATGCCTAACTTTTCAGAATGTTCGTCGTCAATTCTAGACGGCTTTTTAAAATGTTTGTCACCAGTTGTGATCCGTTTTTTAAAATGGTTATCATGAATTCTGGCCGATTTTTTAAAATGTTTGTCATCGATTGTGCTTGTTTTTTTAACATATACATCATCAGTTGTAGCCGGTTTTTCAAAATGTCCATAATCACTTATGCGCGATTTTCTAGAATGTTTGTCATCAATTTTAGACGGTTTTTTAAGATGTCTGTCATCGATAGTGCTTGACTTTTTAACATAGTCATCATCAATTCTGGTCGATTTTTTATAATGTCTATCATTGATTATCGTTGGTTTTTTACTATGTTCATCATCGGTTGTGGCTGGCTTCTTAATATGTTTCTTGTCGATTGTGATCCGTTTTTTAGAACGCTCATCATCAGCTGTAGCTGATTTTTCCAAATGTCCATAATCACTTGTGCCCGATTTTCTAAAATGTTCGTCATCCATCGTGGCCGATTTTTTAAAATATTCATCGTCAGTTGTAGCCGGATTTTTAACACTCTCATCATAAATTGTGACCGGTTCTGGAGAATGTTTGTCGTCGGTTGTAGTTGGACTTTTAATATATTTATCATAAGTTGTAGCCGATTTTTCAAAATTTTCATAATAAATTATACCAGGATTTTCAAAATGTTCTTCGTTAATTGTAGGCGATTTTTTAAAATATTCATCGTCAGTTGTAGCCGGATTTTTAACATTCTCATCATTAATTGTGACCGGTTCTGGAGAATGTTTGTCGTCGGTTGTAGTTGGACTTTTAATATATTTGTCATAAGTTGTAGCCGATTTTTCAAAATTTTCATAATAAATTATACCCGGATTTTCAAAATGTTCTTCGTTAATTGTAGGCGATTTTTTAAAATATTCATCGTCAGTCGTAGCCGGATTTTTAACACTCTCATCATAAATTGTGACCGGTTCTGGAGAATGTTTGTCGTCGGTTGTAGTTGGACTTTTAATATGTTCATCATTAGTTGTAGCCGATTTTTCAAAATTTTCATAATCACTTATACCCAGATTTTCAAAATGTTCTTCGTCAATCGTGGTTGATTTTTTAACATGTTCATCATCTATTATTAGATGTTTCATTTCATTAGATATTTCTCCTTCTAATTGATAATCATTTTTAAATTCTATATGAAAATCATAAGGAGGTTTTTGATTTAATGATGATTGTTTGGAAGTTTCTAATGTATTACGAAGAAATCGAATAAAAATATCTTGACCTGTATTAGCATCTTTTATACGTTCAACACGAATAACATTAGGATCAGGAGCAAATGGATCAATTGCTGCTGGTTCTAATGATTCTTTAATAGAATTATTTCTTGACTTAGATTGAAATTCGGATAAAGATAGCTGAATGCTAGGACTTGATGGGATAGTTGTACGACGATGTTGATGAGTACTACGATATGATGAAACAGATGATACTGATCTTAAAGACTGACGACTTGATGGTCGATCACTATCATATTTAGGATGTTCCCATATTTGCCAAGAACAAAGCGATACTTGATCTGTTGTATAGAAAAAACCAGCACATTTATTATTTATTTGATAATCTATTGTTTTTTCTGCATCTAATGCTGGTACAATGCGTATTTCATCATCAGTTTCTTGAATATTTGATCCATCATGATTAATCTAAAAAATTTAAAAAAAACATGTAAATTTTCGTTTTCTGTTTTTTCTTTGACTTTATACTTTAAAATAAAGTGGAACTTTTGAACAATCTTGTCGTGAATCAGTTGTTTCATATGCATCATAACAAGCTTGAACAAGGTCTAATGCAACTTGTTTAGATTTTAAAACAAAACAATGACATTCATCTACAGGTAAATGACGTGTTCGTTGAAACGTAATAGCAAATAATGGTGGATTTCGTATATTTCCTATATGATGAGCTTCTGGAGAATCTAATGGAACAAAACGTCCACCATTTCGAATTTTATCACCTGTTGTTGTTCGTGTTACAAAACGTACACTAGCACAATAGACAAGAGAACGAATTGGATAATAAATCATAATTGATGGATCAGAAACAAATTGTATTTGTAAACCACTTGCATCGACAGATAACCATGCTTCAATACCTATTCAGTAGAAATACAAAATGGGCGATCGAATAATCAACATAATAAAAAAAAAGAAACTTATTAGCGTAATCACAGTGCGATTAAAATGTGAAATACAATGTAGCTACTCTTGTCAATCACAGGACGATTACTTTATTCTATCTATTTTGGGGCACATTTCTTCATCATCTGTTTATTTAGTCTTCGATGAAAGTAATAAGAAAGTAGTTCATAAATTATAGTCAGACATTATTGATATGTGATCTTTCATTGTATATCAACAACGTCTGTTTCGGTTTGTGAAGTGGGAAGAGGGATGTAAACTTCTACCTTATATATTTCAACACTCTTTTTAGAATGTGTTTCATAAAAGTATATAATAGAACTAATAGAGCAAGATGTATTATCGTGGAAAGTTTTTATTAATTAACAATAAAATTCTATATTGTTGTTTGATTCCATTTTTTAAATGATTTCATTGAATTAATGTTCATCCACATGATTAGTCCATAATCTTTGATAGAATTAATTCTGTAAGCAATCATTCAATTTTCAGAATCAGAGAAGTTTTCTTCAAAACAACCTATATCCAATTATGATAATAATCTTTTAATCTTTGAATAATCATGGTTGAGTGGCTGCATTGTTCGACATATATTTGGAAACCATTGTGTTTATACCTTGATACCACCCACCATAAAATGAAGAGTACAGACACATAATACGTGGTACAATAACCACAAATTCTAGAAGAACCAACCCGAACTTCGGAGAGATGCCACCCTCTCGATCCTCACGCTGGATAAAACACTAGCAAGAACTCTATGTCAGACGGACCTTCTGTTCTTCTTACTCTTAATCTATAAAAAATTCATTCTCGATAATTTTCTGAACTTGTAAATGGTTAACTTAAAATTAACTTCAACTCATTTCATATGACTTCGTTAGAATCCATTATTCATGCTCATTATTAGATTTTAATATATGAAAGATATTAACATTTCTTACCTCGAACAGATTCATTTCCATCGGTTGGATATCGTCTCGATAATGGTTCTTGTAAAGAATCAATACCATGCTTATCTGGTGATGGAATAGCTGTACCCAAATAAAGTACATTACACCTGACTCTAAATAGTCATGAAAATATTACTATAAAAAATTTTAATATGTACTGAGATCTAGAACAAAATGTTCATATCTACTCATAGATTTTCCGATCGATCGTATATAATCGAAATGAATGTTTTAACAAAAGATTATGGGCTAGAGACTAACATATACTGAAATTAAAAGTTTTGCTATGTGAAATTTTGTTTAAAACCATAGTAAACTTGAAAAAAATAATTAATTACTCATACTTTATGAGTAACTTTCAGCCCTTGAGAATTACTGGTCTGAAGTCTTCACAGTTTCAACGGACAATATAAGACACATATAAGCATCTACGATAATTATCAAATAAAAACTATTGTTTCAGACGTTGCTTCAAGAACTTTCATTTGCAACTTAAGCTAATATTACACCAAAAAGATTCTACATCTTTTGAGCAATATAATGATGTGAAAAAATTACAATGAAAGTTTCGAAAGAGGCATCTCAAACAAAAGTTTTTATTTGATGCAAGCCATGTATAATTCTATTAATTCTAATTTCTCTAGATGCTCATATATGTTTTTGATTGTCTTTGAATCAACAAAGAGTTCAGATCCGTAACTGTTAACGACTATGACTTACTTGCTTTTAACAAAGATTTAAAACGAGATAACACTTTGTAAAAAAAAAATACTTTTTAATTCACTGTATGTGTCAGTTAGGGATCAATCAACTCCCAATTCAAAGTTCAGATACAATGAACGAAAGAATTATTCAAACAGTTCCTGTGATAGGAACTGATCTATTTGTAATAGCACAGTTTCTGCAATTGAGTTGTTCGAAAATGTTTTTTTTTTAATTTTGGGAACAACATTTCAGTAGCAGAACAAAAGTTTTTTAATACTCAAAATGATCATTTGCTAAAACAGAGCAAAAATTGTTAGAATAGATCAGTTTTACTAACTGAACTGTTTGAGCACATTAATTAAAATCATAAAGCCCATCGGATCCAAAATTGTCAAACCTGAACTCAGTAGAATTTGGGCTCGGAACCAACTCGATGGGTTCTATAGGTCAGAGACATTTTTAACAGTTCCTCAGACCGGAACTAGAACTAAACTTGTCGACACCTAAATGTCAGCCTCTAGTCTACAATCTTTTAAACAGATTTTGTAGAGAATCGAACAGATTACTTTTTATGATATAAATCATCAGTCTGGACAACAAAAACTAACAAAATAATCAGTAAATTTGTGAATAGTTGATTTTTTACGATACACTTGTTAATATAGTTTACTTTATAAAAATTTTGTGCAAAATAGATTTCAATGATTGTCCTTGTTTATAACCTTCAAGTATATTTAAGTAATGTCATCATATATAATGTGACAAAACAATGAGAATGCAAATAAAAGTGATTATTATGTTCTTATTTGATACAATCATTTATAAAATAAGAAAACATAGCATTAAAATGCTCAATGTTTTTCATACTTCTATGTTAAACAAAAATAAACTTACAATGGTTGAGATTCATCAATAACAACTAATCGTTGATTTTCATCAACATTATTTTCATCGACAACTATATAAGGTGATTTTTTTCCGGTATTATCATTATAATTATATTGATGAGATTTGAATAGACCCGCACGTTCTTCACTATTATCAACATGTTCAATTTTGTTTATCGAATGTAGCATATTCGTTATTGTTAATAAATAAATGTGATTGATTTTTTATATTTTGCTTTTTTGTCTCCCGTACCTAATCACAAATAAAGCGTTATGAATGTTTCTTTTTTATATCATCGTTGTTTACTACATAAAATAGAGAGCGAGCCACAACGGTATTCATTGAACCGTATCAATGAAAATCTTAATGGAGTAAACAGTGAATGATTAGTGAATCTGTTATTATCTTCAATTGGATTTCTTCTTCTTTTTTTTGTCATCATCACCTTTCATCAATCGATTTGTACTTATATAAATTTATAATATTTATCATTCTATATAATTGTTTATGAATTTTCTTTTTTAATTAATAATATCTGATGTTCTATATGATATTAAAGTTATTTTAATTTAGTATTAAATTCTATTGATTAATTTGAAAAAAAAGTCATTTTTATGAATTCGAATGCTATATTATTTATTATTCAAATATGTTTCGTCGCATGATAAACAAAAAAAAAAAAAACTTATCGAGTCTATCGAAAATGACTCGTAAATTGACTTGGTCATTGAATGGAAAAAAACAAAGCGAAAATAGAAATTACATTCATGCGACACCTTGAAGGTCTTTTTCACCTTTTTTTTTCTTTTTACAAAGAAAAACAATAATAGCATGATTCGGTGTTTATGCTTCTATGTATTTCTTATTTTATACGTTATTGGACGTTTATATTTGCTCATTTGTCTCTTTCAATCAACTAATCGAATGATATTTTTCATTAGATGATTTATCTTGTGCAATGAAAAATCAAAGTATTATGTTACCAAATCCATTTTCCTTGATATTCTATTAGAATTTGATTTATTCGATATAAAAAATTCGATACCTATAAATAAATCTAACAAATATAATTTTATTGTAAAATTATTTATATCTGTTAAGATATAACATCATCTTTAAAATATTCGTTTATTTTTCTATGTGAAAACTTAAAAAATAAAATAATATTTTCACACTTTTTTCTTATAATATATTAAACATTGCTGACAATTAATAATAAAATAATAAAAACAATATTTTTTATCACTTGCATTTGCCATCTATTAAAACCATTAGATGTACTTGCAGTTACTGATGAATATAGTGTTTGATTTTGATCTTTAATTGTCTCAATAAATGGAATATAATAGGCAACACGTGTATAAATCCCTGAATGACCCGGTAAAGCACATTCATAACCATTCGATGTTATACCTACAATTTGCCAACGATCATTAACAAAAGCCATTATTGGACCTCCACTATCACCTTGACATGCATCTAAACAAAATAAAAAATGGCATATTATTATTATTATTTGTTGTAAGTCGAATAATCATTGTTTATTTACCTTTTCCACCGCCTGGCACTCCAGCACAAAAATGTACAGTAATATCAACCATTTCATGAGCAGAAGTCATACAATCGCTTGATGTACTTGCTACTGCTTTGACTGTAACTTGTTGTAGAGTTGTTGATGGATTCGTTTGACTATTTTCAGTTCTACCCCATCCAATGAGAACAAGATTAGTACCTGGTATTGGATATTCTAATTTAGCTATTGATTCAGCTGTAACGATATTAGGTAAACATACGATAGATAATCTTGAACTTGACATATCAAATGGTCTTGATAAACGAATAATAGCAATATCATTAACTTTTAATTTATTGTCATAATCTGGATGAATAAAAACTTCATAAACATGGCGTAATTGTCCTTGACCATCACGATTTGAAAGTCTATTACTTCCAGCAATTGCTGTAATTTGTGATAATTTTGATAATTCATATATAATGCAATGTGCAGCAGTTAAAATTAAATTCGATGAAATTAATGAACCAGAACAAAAATATTTATTTGAAAGATATAAACTTACAATCCAACCCCATGAATATGTTGACACTTCTTCACCACCAAATATACGTGCAAGAATAGCTAGATTTGATGAACATCCACATGAAGATTTTCTATCACATATATATGTTATTTTATCATCACTTTTTATTGTAATAAATAAAATTAAAAAAATAAAACAAAAGAAAAAAATCTTCATTATCAATATATACATTCACTTTTTATTATGATTCGTCACATGTATGAGCAATTTGATGCGCATGACTTGTTGTCTGTACGTTACCATGAAGGTCAATCAAACTGACTCCTTTTTTATTTTTATTTATGTTTTTATTACTAGGCTTTGTTTGTTTTTAAATATATCTTTTATAGTAGAAAATTATAAAATGCACTGCATCTATTAATATATATTCACCTTGAATAAAATTTCAAGCGCAAAAATTGTATCAACAAACAAAAATGATGTGGTTTTTTTTTTACCTAAATATACTTCTCTATCGAAATCGTAATATTACAAAGAAAATTTATAGATCTATCATAGTTAACAATCAATGCAATGTTGATTATAATAGTAAAGAAAAGTATGTTATTGCTATGTTAATAATATATCGATCTAACATAAAAATGTTTTCAAAAACTATCTTACGAATTTTTTTTTTTTTTTATTCAAATGAAAGTACATGCACGCAATTATGAAAAGCATTTGAATATTGATAAATAAACAGTTAAGAAGAAAAAAAATGAAAAAGACACAAAATACAATATAGAGCAGAAGAAAGAAAAAAGCGATGTTCTCTAAAGCACATTAATACAGGTGACAAACAAATATGAAATGATTTAAGAGTAAAAAATTTCTAATGTTCCATAGACAAAAATGATCTTCTTCTTATTTTATTCAATCGACTATGTTCGTAGATGAAACCTTACACATAAAATAGAAGCTGTGAACTAATGTATGTTAACAGAAATACAAATAAAAATCAAAGAAGAAATTTGCTTAGTTCACGTCATATATATGACAGAAAAAAAAAAGTAATTTTTTTGCTGAAATAGCTTCTTATGTTTTAAATATTATTCATTATTCATGTTGAATATACCATAAAGATGCCGAGTATTTCGTTCTTTCTCACTATAGACAATATATTTAAAATAAACAAAGCATGGTAATAAAAATACATAGTGACAAAAGAAGGATGGTAGGCAATACAATTGTCTCTCATTGTATATTTGTCATTGTCATATTAGGATTTTTGTTGTTGTTGACGATGAGAGCATAATGAAGCTACTTCATTGGTCGAAGTATATTTCGATAGATTTATAATCTATTGAAGCAGAATTTAGGCACCAAAATAATTTCTTTTTTTGTTTAATGTTTGTTTTTGAAATTAACAAAATTATCAATCATCAAGAAATCATAAACACAAGGGAATTCAAGGCATTCAACAATGAGATGGCTTGAAATTCTGATTCAATGATTTATATCAAGTATAATTTAACTGAATAAATAAATGAAAAATCATTGACTAGTGTGATTTCCAAGATGGTTCAAAATATTCTAGAAAAAGAATTCCAAAAAAAAAAGCAAACAATTAATAAATTGTTAGACATGATGAATGACTATTTTTTTTTTTTGAACATTTTATTTTATGTTATCAGAACTTTTGGTCAGCCCTTTGTATTGAAAAATATTTACGAGATATTTTTAAAGAAATATTATCGATAATTTTTTTTTTTTTTGTGATTTATTAGTCCAATTAATTGTGAGATGATATCCGAATGGAATCGTTCAAAAAAAGAAGACTTTTCGATTTATTCTCGATTTTTATTGAAACTCGCAATTTATTAATGACGTATTATAATTTATACTTTACTCAAATGCTCTTCGATAATCATATCGACTATACATCTTTCATTTGTTTTGAAAAATGGTTACGTGAACATCTGGATATTTAAAAAAATTATTAAATAAAATGCTTCATTTAATCATTCAGCCATTTTTATTGTGATGAAATCGTACAAATATCTTATTGTAAAATTTGATATCGATTTCATCATAAGACGCTCTTGTGAATCTTACACGATGGAAAGATTATTTGACTCAACTAGATTGACGTTTACTCAAAGATGAACACATTTATCACCAAGTCAAATTAATAACATATTATTTATTTCGTTCATACGAGATATTCAAGAACAAGCAGTAAAAATAAAACTTATCCTTTCTCATTGTCTATCTGTTTATATTGATGACATTATGAATTCTTTATCCTTATGTTCCTTCATTTGATTTTTGCTGAAAAACATATGATAAAGTTCATTAACATGATTATTGTAAATAATGTTTATATTAATAGTAGTTATATGATATTTGACATCATACCTTAAAGCCAATGTTTTTTTTTATCGTTTAAAACACATGACAACGACAAAATCATCTCTCTTCTCATTGATCGGAAACTTTTATGGATACGATAATAAGAAAAACAAACAGTCGTATATCCATTCCGACACACTATTCGTAGTTGTAAGGTTGAGCATTAAGACAAAGTTCGATCATCGTGCATGTCACATGGAAAATCGCGATTTTCTGTAAAAATCACTTTTTTAAAGTAATTGAATCACTGATTTTAATCACACGGGTACATATCATATCTTTAACAAAACATGTGTTTGCTTCTTAATTTAACTTAAAGTAAAATTAGTATGTAACAAAATTAATATTGTTCTATTTCATTGAAAGAATATAAAGTCAAGAAATAAACAAACATATATATGTCTATTGTTGGATCAAATATATCTCTAGATTTATTTTTATTCTGTATAATATAGTTCTTTTGTTAAATATGTTTCTGACAGCATAGAGTCAAATGAAACTAGAGACGGAAAATAAACAAAAAAGAAAAAAACAAAACACACATCCAAAAGTAAAAAGTAATTTCACACACACACACACATATAATTTTGTTTTCAAGTTTTTAATTATATTCAGAAAGAAAAAAATCAATTGTATTAAGAATCGAGCAATTGTGCTTCATCATGTTTATCCAATTTATACGATTGATCTTTTGTTTTTTCATTATCAATTAATAATTGATCTTCTTCATTAAGAAGATTTACTACATCATCATCATCAAGATCATTAGTTCGATTTGAATTGGAGACTTCATTTTCTAATGTATTACTTATCGCACGACGCTAAAATAAAAATAATTTCAAATTAATAATAATTTTAATTAAAAAAAAAACAAAACAAGAATCTTTACCATATCTGCTGATGTTTTAGCTCGAAGACTTTCAATTTGTTTTTTTAATGTTTCTTCACGTTTTTTAAGTAGATCTTGTTGACTTATTTTTGTTGTTAATGATGATGATGATGATTTAATTGGTATTGTACGAAATGAATCTTTAAGCATAACAACAGTTGAATCAACTTGTTTCATTAATGATAGTATAGATTCTTTTTCTTCATTTGTTTCAGCTGTTTCAAGTTTTTTCAATAATAATTTTTGTTGCTGAATTTGTTCTTCTAATAAACCTTGTTTTTTACGACGAATTTCTATTGCAGCTTTTTTTGCTGCTTCTTTTTTGATTATAGATTGAACAGGTGATATTGTTGATTTTTTCTTCGGTGGTATCTAATAAATAAATAAATCATATTCAATGATAATAGAAAAATAAAGTTTACATCATTTTTATTTGATGATGATTTTTGTGTTTTATTCCAATGATGTTTTGTTGAATTAGGAGTAGTTCTTTGTTTTTTTATTGATGTTGTATCCGATGAGGTTGGATTAGGATTAGTAGTATTTGATGAGTTTTGTCCCTGAAAATTTATATTATTTCTTTTTTTCATTTCGTAAGAACAAAATATGAAAATATTTACTTTATTAGCATTATGCCAGAATATTTTTATAAAACGATTATTAAACAATGGTTCGGGATTTTTATATGCTGTTTCAGCTTCTTGAAATGTTGCATAGGCAACAAGTGCCGAGTCAAAAGAACCATCGAAAGCAATCTAAATTAATAAACAAAATTATATTTATTTAATTATGATGAATTTAATGGACAACAACAAAAAACGGTCTTATTTCGAATTCAATCGATTTTTTCAAAACTTTTATTTTTCATTTATTGAGGACTGATATAATAAAAAAAAACTATTTGATATATACCTGAACATTGGTAACAGTACCAAATTTACTAAAATGTTCATTTAATTTTGATATTGTATTAAACTCAATGGGAATTTTACGTATTTCAAGTGTTGCTGATGTCGATCCAGATCCATCAGGTTTTGACCCTAAATCATTCAAATAGAAGTATGTATATGCTTCAGAACATAAGAAAAGTAGTGGACGGAGATATTTTAATTCGTTATAAAAAGTTTACAGAAACTTTCTAACTATATGGTCTGACAATAAAAACAATGGTCTACATTTTTTTTTGCAGAGATGTGTATCTCTCACACCGCAATGGTAAGTATGACTTATATTTGAGCGATCGCGCCTTTATCATCTTAAACTTAAATTTAACTCTGAAATAAGTATGCATATGTTCGGTTACATCTTGCCTAATTAAATATTCTTCCATGTATCCTCTACTTGATGTTCTCTTTGTTCTAATGTCTAATCGTTTACACATATTAGGATGTAAACAAAACTTGGTCATGATAGAAGAAAAAAAACAAATTGAAAAAGAAGTTCATCAAGTTTGTACTTAAGTAATTCCTCGGATTTGATACCTTGAGATTTTTTATTATTCGACTTAATCAAACAAAATTTAAACAATTTGAAATCGTTACATTCTGCTGTAAACAATTTCATGAATTCTTTGAATAAAAAAGTGTTCAATAAATGGATTCAACAAATACAATTGATTATTTCGAATATTTAATGAAAATAAAGACTTGATGAACTTCTTTCTATTTTTCCTACCGTCATCGTTTTTGTATACTTTAATACATATGAACAATTAGGTATTAGAGAAGACAAAAAAAAACAAAAAGGAGAACATTAAGACGAGTGTACACATCGTCGACAAAAGATGATCTAATATTACCGGCACATATTATAACAAACAGCGATTATCGAAATTTCATCGTCATGATATTAGTCGAAGAATGATCAAATATCAGAGCTATAGAGCATTGTTTTTGCTCTTAGATCATAATTGAAAGTTCCTTTCAATTTCTTATGAGGTATTAAAATACCTCCGTCATTACTACTTTCGATGATACGTCCTAAGTATATCATATAAAACATACATGGACGTTTTCGAGCTCGATTATGATTAATATCTTGATTAGTTTTATTCGTTTGATGATCATATTGTTGTGTTCGCCTATCGATTGGATATAGTGCAGTAGTAACATGTCGTTTTGTACGATGCATAGGACTATCTAGAAAAATTATTCAGAAAAATACTAAAAAATATTCTTTTGAATTCATTGAAATTTACTTGAATTATTTTGTCGTAATTTTTGTTCTGATGTTAATGGTTCTGCATTAGTTACAACAGTAACAAGTGTTCGTTGACCAATAGGTAATGGTTGTCTATTAATCATAGATGATGTTTGATGTAGATCATATTTTAAATCAGGTATTTCAGGATTATATTGTTGATGAATATTTGTTGATGACATATCATATTGTTGATATGATGGATAATAATTTTGTTGTTCAAAAGTTAAAACATTTGATCCATGATCATATGGACATGAATCTCCAAGAGCACAATAACCTTTATTATCAAAAAAATCTTTACATGGAATTTTATTCGATAAAAAATTCGTATTTTTTGCTGATGACGAAGGTGAAGAATCAGTGGATGAATGAGAATAAGAACGTTGAGTACGTTTAGCTAATGGTGAACCTGTCGATTGACGTTTATGACTTTCACTATTAGTATTTGGATGACGAGAAGAATATGGTCTAAAAAAAAAAACGACAATAGAAAGAAAAAAAGAATTTCCTTTTGTTTTTTTATTATTAGAAAATTTTACCTTTTTATTGGTTGAATAATTGATGTAGATGAAGATGTTGTTGATACTGGAATTGATTCTGTTTGTTGTATATCTTCTTGTTTTGTTGGTAATTGAACATTTTGTTGTTGCTGTTGTTGTATTCCAGATGTTTCAGTATTTATTTCGGTTGGTTTTGGTTGAACATTTTCCTATTTAATTTATGAAATAAAATTTCAATTATTAAGATTTATTTTCTTACTTTTTTTCCTTCAGGTATATATCGTCGATTTCGTATAACATCAAATAATTGATCAACAAAATCTTTTGTTGATCGATCAAGAAAAACTTCAAGTCGATCAATACAATTTTCACGAAGTTTATCTAATGGTTTATCTTTAGCAACAAGTGCAAGAACATAACGCGCAAGAGCTATTGGTTCGGCATCACATCTAAAACAAAAATACTAATAATTCAAATGATAATTAAACGAAAATTATAACTTACAATGGTTCGAGTGTTGTTACGAGCCACTCACGTAATGCTGCTTCGTCGTCAATTAACATGAGAGATATATTTATTTACAAAAAAATCAAAACAAATCTTTAAAAAAAAACGCAATATTTAATTTTAATTCATGTTCAATTTTACTTGAATAAAGTTAAGTAGAATAAAAACAAGTGTCTTTTTTCATAAATTTGATTATTTTAAATGAAACTTGTTCATTACTTTACATAATCATATGTAGTACATTTTGCATAAATGTTTGATTTGTTGTTTTTTTTTCTTCTACACTTTCATCTATCAGTTGTTGCAGGCATGATCACTCTATAACAGTGGCTAATTGAAAAAGAGAAAGGATAGAGGGCGCGAATTATCGTCAGCATTATATGTATATCCTTGATAAATTCGTTTTAAAAATTTATTAAATTGAACTTTTAGATATAGAGAAATATTGTCGGAACTCTTTAAGAGTTACTCTTAGGATAGACTAGTCAACCTATTTGTATTGATCGTTATCGTTTATCAATATGTTAAAATATTAAAAGTAACATTATAATATAGACATTTCATTTATATTAATCAATTTATGAAAAACTTCAAATGTGTTTTATGTGTCTGGTATAAGGTTGTCAATATTTTGTTGATGGTGAGAAGAGCTAAAAATTCTCACCGAAAGTGCTAGAAGTGGTAATCGGAAGAACAAAATTTATCATGATCCGACCCTCCTACAACAGACAATCTGCTGTAAATAATTTCGTTTTTGTCCAAGTTAAATACGAAGAAGTAAAAAGTTTTCAGAAAGGTGAATACTTTAGTGAGGACTGCTTAATTGAGAACTCTGGTCTGACAATATATGATTCATTATTACTTCTAAAAAATGTAACAATTTTTTATGTGATTTTTTTTTCTTAAAGTAATTTTATTCAATTATAAAATTTAAGGCATTAATGTGTCACGCATCTTGTTTGTAGATAAACTAGAGATAATTATCAATTCTCGTTGGTTTTCGATGATGTTTATCTTTTGGTAGTATAATAGATAACAATTTTAATTATAAATTCCTGACAAAGATCAATTAAATTGATCTTGTAATTATTGAAAATTAAGCATTTACTCTGATATCAGGAATGAAATATCGAACATTGGAATTTCGAGTCTATCGGATTCAAGACAAGCATAATCTGTGGTATGAAAATCTTGACACAAAATATTTGCTTATTTTTTATTCTGTCACTAAAAGATAACTAGTAGGTGGTGTCACAATCAGAGTTTTTTTTTCTATTTCCGAATATATGTTCAGATTTTTATTCTGGCGTAAGACTGAACAACTTTCAGTAAATTTTGTGAAAAATCCCAAAATTGTCTGTACAAAACAAAATAAGTTTTGGCGCTGTCCTTAATTTGTGTCTTGGAATAGTTTCCATTCAAAATTATTTCTAGAGCAATGAATTCTGTACAAGACGAGATATTACAATTAACAAAATCTCATCTATGTATTTTCATCAAAGAGCTAATTTCTATGGAAATCGTCATTGATCAAATAATGACTGTATCAAAAACTACTATGAAAAATGCAAAAGTTTCAAAAAAGAATAGCACTTTTTATAGTGTCCCATAGGTTAATGGGTCATACTACTGAAAATTCACTATTTATTATATTGTTAAGACTTTTTTGTAGACTTGGCCCGTCTTATAGTTCTTAAAAATGTACATCTCTTCAAAGTGAAAGTCGTTTTAGTGACAATCATTGTTCTTCATAACTTTCGTGAGATGTTGATTATGTGATGATGGTGGCAATCTTCTGAATTGTATTAAATCAGAGATACATGATATAGTAATATTTTCGATATGTATTTATTGGTAATATTAATAATATAATTTTATGAACATTTTGTGAAGCATCAATCGGTATTAATTGACCGACAGGAGTTTGATTATAAGGCTGAACTCAATAAAGAAATTGATTATTGCTGGTTGTAGGTGATGTTATTTCGAAATATGAAATCTTACTTTCTTTTGTAGTAAACTATACAAGTTCAGTGATATTCCATTATCGGGTAACTAGTTATGAGATCAGCGAAGAATATAAGACCTTTTTTCATAGTTTACATGAAATAGACCGTAAGGTTAGTGCTGGTATTGATCATAATTATTTTGTGAATTAAAGGGATTAAAAATAGTAGGGCATGTTGTTTTGCCTGTTTAATAAGTACGAGTTTCAATTGATAAACCTGTTGATCTGATATAACCATCATAATCGTCAAAAAAAAAACACTCGCGACAATTCTGATTAGCAGATATTATTAAAGAGTAAGATAACTCTGCTCTGTAAAAGAAAACCATAATGAGATCTTCATACTCTATGAAAGCGAATATTTAATTCTATTTTCAAGATGAAATTGTTTCTTTTGGCTTTGAAAAATTAAGAGATCTTGAACCTTGTTCATCATACTCTTGTGTTGTTCACAAGACCAAGAAAAAAGAAAAAATATATAATCTATCAATGACAATTTTCCTGAAGACATTTACCTTGTTTTTTTTTGAGTAATGTAAAATATTCTGATTTATTTAAGGAAATTTCAGTCAGTTTTTCGTAGGTCGTCGCCGTTGTCAGCTCAATAAACTGAATTTGAGATAATAACTTTCGGCGCGTTACGTATGTCGGCTCTCGAATGATTCTATTACCCATAGGGACATGACTGTTCAGTTATAGTCCTATGTAAGGAAGTGTTGAAACGTTCTTTTGACAAAAATTAATCTAGTCTAATAGATTTCCCTTGCAAACTGGTCTTTTTTAGCAAGTAGGTCTTGTCATAAGAATCAAGAAATTTTCAAAAACTTTTAAAATAAACTTCATAAGGCATTCAAGTAATGAAAGAGACTTTTACAGCGATAGAGCCTAAAATTTCGTCCATGATCGAAATGCTATTTGTAACATTTGTAGTTTGACGGTGGATCTAAAAAAATTACAAGCAACTTATAAAATTTGAGTCAATCAGTTCTTATCAAAAGATCTATTTCAACAGTTCATGAACTCATTTGATTTGAACATATGAACTATTATTTCGAGGACGTTAATGTTTTTTGCTTGTCAATTGAGTCTTGTTGAATGATAGTATGTAGACTCTATAGAGTTGGTTAGATTATTTAAATAGATCCTTTTATTAGTAAAGCGAAGGGTAAAATGAATATCTCTACCAATTCGATGAGAAAAGTTTTGAAAACTTTCTTAGTACAAGAATGTCCCGAAACTCTATTTTTGGGTTTCTCACAATGCGTAGTTTTTTCTTGAGTGTAGTAGCTAAATAATGTTCTTCAAATTTTAAATCTATTTCTTTTCTGTCAAATTCAACTTTTAGTTGTCATTTAGCTACTAAAGATGATTCAAAATCGATTGATATTCCCTAAGCGGAGCCACGTACAAGCGATTTACAATATGACTTGAATTGTTAAATAATCGCTCATGTTTTGTTAAGAAACTTTCACTTCATTAAAATTACTGGAATGAAAGGGTACCGTTTTACTATATTTTAAATTCAACGCTAAAATCTTCATCTATAGCAAGAGCGAAACAAGACTTAGCAAACTTTCTGATTCTGATTTCTAGTCTCCTTTTGCCAATTTTATTTTTCAGTACAAGTTCGTACAAAGGCAAAATATTGAAAAACTTGGATGAATGATAAGTAAAGAATGAATTAACTTATCGTGAGCTTAGCGAATAACTAAAATTGACTTTCATCAACGTTTCTTTTTTAGCATCTTAAATTTTGTTTTTAGTTCATTGAATAAAGCATTTTCTTTTCTTAAGAAAAGGCTAAAATTTTAAAAAAACGAACAAATAAAATTTTTTGAAATAATTTTTTCGTGAAACTTTTTGCGTATGTGACAAAATTCAAGGAGAAATACTGCGTCATATGATAAATATGGTTTTTAAAAATATCCATTCTCTAATCGCATTCAAAAATAGAACCAAACATTAGTTCAAAGCCTTTTCTCTCTACACAAAGAATACCAAGAGTCATAAAAAAGCCAGTGTATATATAAATCATAAAATTCCGTATTCATAAGTGTAAAACAATTTATTTTCACCATCAGTATTGATGAAGATAATTCTTGAAATATGAATAGAAGATATGATTTTTCAGCTTGGTATTGAGTAGATTTAATCCTTTACACAAAATATTTCTTTACAAGACTCGTTCTAATACACACAGTGACTCAAAGCAGCCAAATATAGACTGAGAATATGAAATCCGAATTGAGTATGGATGAAACTCCAGCTGTCGCTCGAGCATAAACTCTGACATTTGCACCCACATTTTTTTTGCTTGATTGAAGTGATTGATGTTTGTGACAGCTTCACACTGATGTATATTTCTTTTCGTCACTTTTACTTTATCTGAGAAGGTGAAATGAGCGCAATGTGCTTCACATGATTGTTATGTTGCATTTCTCTATGAATAAAGATCAAATCAAAATCTTTCATATCGCTGTTGCAATCATGAAAGAATCAAATTCGAGTGTTTTTTGTTTCTGTCTTCGTGCGATTACTTTTTTTTTCCATGGAAATGTACGTTGTTGAAAGACATGCTTATTGGTAGCCATTACTATGAGCTGTCTGTTTGTTGTGGGTAAACAAAAAGTCTTTTGTTTGCAAAAGAAAATGACAGAACAAAGAATTTTTCTTTTTAAAACACACCATAGAAGGTAAGTTCTAAATAAACAGCGTTATTTTATTCAAGGTAAGAGTAGTAGATCGTAATTATGATGATGTCTTTTAAAAAAATGACTTTACATTATGGAATTAAAAACAGACGATATGCTTATTTCAATTTTTTTTCTAAATGACTTTCACAAATTTAAGATATCCTGGCGTGTCTCGAGTCCACAAGAATCTAGAGGTCAACAAGTCACGAGGTAAGGTTGCCGTTCTTTTTTTGTCACTAGACGGACTCTTAAAATATATAAGTAAGCAAAAAAAACAGAATTCAACATTTCCATTAGCACAAGGGAAGAATTTTCTAACAACAGGAGAAGAATTACTTGCAATCTGTCGTTCAAG